TCCCTCTCTGTGTGTGCACGCGCGCGCGCGTTGCCCCACCCAAAATTCCCGATGACAGATATAATATGCCGACAAAGTTCCTGTGGTAACTTGTAATAAGCCATAGAGTCTATGGGAATAGCCTGTGCAACAGACTTAATTAATATCTCTTTACTAGCTGAAGCTATCACACCCTAGGCTGGGAACGACCGGTCTCGAAGTGTCACTTGCCGGCTTTTAAATTTTCCTTCTCAAGTTTCTACAAAGTTTTAACTTTAAAATGAAGTATTTATTTGTCGAACCAAACGTCAAAAGAAAGGGGTATGACTATGTGCTGCTTGCTGCGAGGCCTACCATGGCTTGCCTGGAGGGAGCTCGTATTGGACCAGCCCAGTAACCGCGTCACATTATCATGCTGATGTCATGTTATTTGTTTTGTTGTTTTTTACCGTTTCCTATTCACATTTTTGCTTATTCTCTTACTTTTTTATATTTCAAAATATATACAATTCACTTACAATTTGAAAATTTTGAATTTTGTAGTTGAAAAATGTAACATGTGTATAGAAATATGTTTGTAATGTATATGAAAAATGTACAATGTCAATTAAGAAAAAGTATGTGATATTCAAAAAAAATGCCCATACATTGTAAAAAAGTATCACATATTTTTAAAAATATTCATAGATAAAAAATGTACGTTAAGAAAATTTCACAAGTTTCAAAAATGTGTTCGTGACATTTTCAAAAAAATATTGCATAGTTCAGAAAATGTGGGTTTGCTATTTTTTTCCAATGTGTATTTAAAAAAATGCTTCACCTGCATTTGAAAAAATGTTCAAAACTTGTTTTTTGGATAAAATAAATATGTGTTAAAAATGTGAAACATTAAAAGAATGTTTTATATGTATATAAAAATGTACAAGGTGTATGGAAAAAGCAGGCGTTGAAACATATATAAAAAATATGTAAGTCTTGTATTTGAAAATGTTAAACATGTGTAAATAATGTTCCTAACATATATGAAAAAATGTAATATGCATACTAAAAATATAGACATTTGTTGAAAAAAGTAAAAGGCCGAAAAAAAAACATATAAATTTGGTGAAAACCAAAGAAAAAAAATAAAAAACCAAAAAAGTAACAAAGAAAACCAAGGAAAAACGAAACAAGAAGGAAAAAAAGGAAGAAAACAGAATAACCAAAAACTGCGAAAGAAAAAAAGAAAAGGGAAACAGAAAAGCATAAAAACCAGAGAAAAGCCATGTAGAACTGGGCTACAAACAGTGGAAAAAGTTGATTTGCCAAAATTTAAAAATCAGGCTTTTAAAAACTCTTTATTTTTTTTGCATAGTCTTCAAAACTCATTACTCTCTGCCATATGAGCTGTGGCGGGAACTTCCTAGCCAAAAACTCGTAGCTGTAGTTCTTCTCTCCTAGTGCTATTTCCCCTAAGTATCCTGAAACGAATCAACGGAGTAGATGCAGAAACAGTAGAGAAAACAAGCATCATTTTTTTTTTAGAAAAGGAGGATGACCCCCGGCCTCTGCATCTGGGCGATGCATACGGCCACTTTATTAATTATTCTCACAACACCTTATAAAGTAATACAACAGTAAGACTAAAGCCGCCATCTAAGCAACAAACTGTCGCTACACCTATCCAGTTGATGAAGGGGCGCAGATAGTCTGGGCCTAATACCAAACAGACATCGCAGCCAAACCTAACATCTAAGACCTGAGGACCCATCCAGGACGCCTGCCGGGCATGGGTCTCGCCGGTCCGGCGTGCTCTCAGAGGCCGCCGCCGCCAACTGCCACCGCTCCATCTTCAGAACTGTACTGATGCATCAACCTTGCTCGGTCTAGCTATCGTCGACGCCACCATGGCGCCCAACGGTACCTCCTCCCTGCGCGCAAACAGTTGAGCACGTCGCGGTCGCCGCTGATACACCTCAGCACCATGCTGCCAAGTACCACCAGCCGACACAGCTTGAAGTCTTTGGAAGATCTGTCGTGAGTAGCACCTGCCGACCAGGCATGACTCACCGTAGCACCTGTCGGTCAGGCATGACTTGACAGCTCCACCGAAGCTCCGTGCAAGACGAAGCCGCTCCACCTCCCGCCTCTGTCTTCCAGCGCTGCTCCACAAACGATGCTCCCAAGAGAGAGACGGCACCGTAGTACCGCCATCGTCCGATCTGGAAGGCCAGATCCTAGGGTTTCCCCTGAAGCAGCACGAGTGGGTTGACAACAGTTACACGACGATGCCTTCATCAAGGTAACGACGCAAAACGCCGCCATCGCCCGCCAACGGCTCGGTTTTCACCGGCAACTATGTCTCCCCGACTCGTAGCCGAGACTAGCTGACGGATCTCGAGATCCGATCACCCAGCCGTAGGCCGATCACCTCTGACGGAAGAGATGACCACCACCGTCGACTGCACCGGTCAGAACAGATCTGACGGAGGTGCCGCCTACGCGACCATCAGGCCCTCCACGCCGCCGCCGCCGATCCAAAGGCAGATGGCGCGCCGCCGCCGTCGCCGACCACAGTGCCGCCGCCGCCCGAACAGGGCTGGTCGCCGCGCCCGCAGCCCGCGCCGCCTCCGACGCCGCCACGCCGCAGCCATCGCCGTTGCTGATCGGATCTGAGGCGCCTCCACACGATTCGGGGATCTGCACAACCCCATATCCACGGGAGAGAGGTGATGTCCTCCGCCACCGCCGTCGGCCCCCGGGCTTAGACCGGCGGCGTCCCCCGGTGACGGCGGAGGGTGGGGAGGAAGGAGTATACGCCCCCGGCGGCTGAGTAGGGAGCCGCCCGAGCCGCCCTAGCGGGGACGACGCGGGGGCTGTTTTCAACAAAAAGGTTAGCTACGCGGGGACGACCTAAAATATGGGAGAGATTTTCACTTCCCGGCCTCTGCACCAACCAGGGATGCATACGGCCATTTTAGTATGAGTACCAAGATAAACATGGTCCTTAGTATTTACATTGATCATTGAGGGTCGTAAAAGTGTAAGTCATCGCTGCTCTCAGCTTTACATTGATGGATGATAACTAATTTAACAATCAAAGAGAAATTACATGCCAGATTTACAACAGATGCAAGTCAGCCTTAAATAAGTGAAAGTTTTGCATTCGGTGGGAGTGTCTTAAGGAGAGGAGCTCTAACCATATCAAGAGCAGCACTATCTAGTCTAGGGATTGGTTCATCTGGATCCCAAGCATCAGTTAGCCTTTGAGCTGTATCTACAGTCACGACCTCTATTGCAGGAGCATTCTCAACCACGTGCATAAGGAATTCAGCTTGGCCGCGTGCCCCTCTGAATCCTGTAACTCGAACGTCCTTCAGATTAACTAATTTATCTTCACACGGCGGCATTTCTTGTCTCAAAGGTCCATCGGTTGCAAACCACAAAGTGCCAATGTCATGAAACTGCAAAATTCATCAAGATTAGTAGGATTTCTTGTTACCACCTACATGCAAACTGAAAATAATGGCTGACAAAGGGGGGAAACTATTGAGAGCATTACTCACATGTACTTCCAACTTTTCAATGAACGGAGCAACCCTTAAAAAAGAAACTAAGTAGAGGATTTTGTCATATTCTTCATAATGTATAATCAACAGTATTTGCACATGCCTGAGGTGAGAAAACACACGAGGGCTATTTAACATCCACCGGGCCTGAAAGATAAAACAACAAAGGTTATTGCAAGATTACGTGACTGCCATAACTAGAAAATTGTCCCAGTAATAAAATACCTCAAGCTCTTGCATTCCAAGATGCAGTGTCAGGTTGTGTACATCTGGTAGCCCATTGAGGAGTGACGCGATACAATGCTGAAAAACTGCGCCGAGGAACCTAATTGTTGCATTTTCCAGCTTCGCAGCATGATGGAGGGTAATAGGTATGTATGGTCCATCATAAACAAAGGTGGAGAGCATTGGAGCATTGAACTCTATCTTGGTTATATCACAGTGCACGACTTTCAAGTAGCGCAGGTGGGACAATGGCCGCCGAACCACCTTCATTTGATCCTTGAGATGGCATCTGAGTAAGCTCAGCCATTCAAGATTAACACAACTGCTCAAGATACTCTCGAGATCCTGCCTAGTGGTCTTGAGTACATGGAGATGAAGCTTTCTTAGGTTTGGGAAACCTATGAAATTGGCAGGAGGTGGTTCGAAACATACAAAGCTGAGTTGAAGACACGCTAGACAGGATACACTTTTGTTGTCTGTAAATTGTTCAAATGGGAATCTGTAATGATCCCCATATTTGGGAAAATTGTCCGGTGGCGCCAAATCAAAAGCTAGACTCTTTGTGTGGGCTGACATAGCAAATCTAATCCAATTATTGAGGTGATCGACAAGCTTGGTCTCGAATATAAATTTAATCTCAAGTTGGTCAACAGCCCTGCCGCTGTGCTTGGTCAAAACCGCATTAACACGGTCGATGAACATCTGGGTGTGCTGGTGTTTCCTTTTCGCATTCGTACTTACATCATCGACACCAAAGCTTAGTCTGGGGCAAGCTGTCCATGTACATCTCCAGTCAGTCGACAAAACACTGGTCCGGACAGCCTCTTTTGCAGGTAATTTGGATAAAATTGTGCACAGTACATCCTTGAGCAAAAGGAGAAGACAAGTTTAAGTAGAGAAATCTATTTACCCTGAGGGTCAAGTCGAAAGGCAAAACTAACATACCTCTGGAAGGTCACGAAATTTAAGGCCAGGCCTTCCATTGCGATTCTTGGATGTCTGCTTAACATGGGCATGCTTCTCTGCCGTTATTCTACTCGTCAGATAGTTCCCCATTCCAGTGCTGAAAAGAACATTGGACGAACAAGAGGATAGAGAACAAGATGAATTGTAAGTATGCGTAAACTGAATTTTCTCTGAAACTAGAATCAGTAAGTCTGTGTGAATTTTCTCTGAAACTAGAGGCAGAGATCTGGGGCGAGCAACCCACAATATTGTTTCCTTTGAGGATTATTAGGACCAAGACTACTGACGGGAGGTGGGTGGGCCGGAGAGGCGACGAGCGGCGAGCGGCGACGGCGCCTAGGTGGGTTTATTATCCTGTTCTCAAGGTCGAAAGTGGACGGGCAGCGACGAGAAGGCGCCCACGTAGAAACGCAGGGACGGAGGAAAAACGCTACGAAATTGTTTCCTTTGAGGATTCGGAAATCGACGGCGCCTACGATTATGACTCTGGCGAACCAGTCCGCATCCTCCCTCCTTCCTCTTCCTCGACTCCGGCCACCTAACTCCTCTCCCAACGTCAATTGCAGCAACAACAGGGAGCACAACAGGATGAATCTGGTGGCGCGGCCGGAGGAGAGGAAGGCCGGAGAATCAACCCGGTCATCCACGGCGGGGGCGGCGAAGGAGAGGCTGGAGCGTGCGTGGTCGAGAGGAACGAGTGAGATCGGCTCGACCAGCAACAGCAAGCGATCCATCCATCTTGTTTGGCTTGCGTACCGTGTGTGACGGCACATGGATCGCTCGAACCAGCTGCCTGCCTAGCGAGGAGGAGGAGGAGGAGGAGGAGGAGGAGGAGTCCACTCGCCGCGTGCTTCTCGTACCTACTGTAGCTAGCTAGCTCCTCCGCGAGGAGGAGGAGTCCGCTCGCCGCACGCTTTGCGGGGTCCCCCAAATGTTAGATATACTAGGAGCCATCGATTTGAGAAAGATGCCTTGGGACATCAGAATGTCATAGAAACTCACACCTGGCTCAAAGTTATGGAAATCATCTTATTTCATTTCCTAGCATTCAATATTTTATCTAGTTATAAATCAATTAGCCTTTGATCCTCTTAAGTCTTTGTCTTCAGCCTTTGGTAGTCAGACTTATTCATGTTCATGGTACATTTGCCGGGCGGCATTGCTGCTTTGGGATGCATAAATCAATGTATTTATATTTCAACTCTGTCATAAAACATGCAAAGTTCACTGTAGTATGTAGCAAACTCCTCAACTAATTTCCATATTTCCCATTTCAAGACAACATTATTCCATTACATTATGGTTGCCAAGTAATTAAACAAGAGCAATTACAGGCTTACAGCTTATAATATTGCAAGGACAGCTTCACAGTTTACTAGATGCACCAAGATACTTGGAATAGCGGGCTTGAGCGATGATTTTGCCAGATTTCTTCTTCAGTTCCACAGTGGCCACTCCTACTGCTTTTCCAGCACGCAGAACCTTCGCCTCGATATCAATCTCTTCCTGCAAATGGCAACATATGATTTCATAGTTACTGTACAATCACAAGAACTTCAGAAGTGAATCATGGTATTCCAACAGCTCAACTAATGCGTCAAGATTGACATGGTCATCCATGCACTTCGGAATACAGAAACAACAACTAGCACAACTTGGTTAAGCACTAGAGCATTCTTAACAAAATTTACAAACCAAACGAATCTCGATACACCAAAACTGGTAAGTGACACGAAATTTGCTGCATGAACAATGATTTATTGTGTTCAGTGGCATCTCTACCTGGTGCTAGCAGAGTGGAGTACAATTATGTGATGTACAGATTATTGGCTCCCTGATAATGTAACTTTATGAGCTCATTTCACTGTAAATTTACTTTCAGAGTTGGGTAATAATAGCTTCAAATTCCATGTGGTAGTTGGGCCATGGGGATTATAAGTTATAACTAGGAAGTACAAGAAGACATCCCATGTAAATCGATGACGCTAAGAGATCAATTAAATTCGGCGAGAAAGCCACTCACATCCGAGAATGCAGCATCCAGGTAGGAGATATTCATCTCAAGTGGTGAGCCCCTGGTCTGTGCCCCGGCCGTGTAGAAGACAGCAGTACCCACCAAGTCAACCAGCGACGCGGTGGCGCCGCCGTGCAGGAAGTTGCCCGAGTTCTGCTCAACAACAAACACAACCATCATCAAAACGCAATATAACAAGCTGCTCCAAGCTTGTATTCCAGTTAACAATTGAAATGATGGAACGATGGCTATTCTGAAATTAAGTTCCTCAGCTACAGTAGAAAGGTAATTTTCTGATTGAATGCTACTACAATAGTATAGATGGAGAAAATTAAATTATACTTGGGCTAGTGCGATAATTAGCAAGATTCGAGCAGCAACTGAGCAGGAGAGGGAAGGGGGCAGGTAGATCTGGCTGCCGGAGGTGGGAGGGAGGGAGGGCTCACGAGGAGGCGGGCGGGGACGGTGAAGTGGCAGAGGAGGCGGCCGGGCTCGACGGCGTGGACGCGGATGCCGCAGAGCACGAAGGCGTCGTAGAACCCGGAGGGCAGCGCGTCCACCTGCTCCGTCGGCAGCGACTCGGCGGCCGCCTCCTCCAGCAGCTGCCGAGCCTTCTCCATAGCCGCCGTCGCCGTTGCCGCCGCCATCGGCCGGTCCGACAAAGAGGAACGGATCCGGAATTGCGTTTCCTTCCCCAATTCCTCTGCCTTGTGTCGTGACTGCCGCCACACTTGTTTCCTGTTTTTTTAGAGCAACTCCAAGTTCCTTGTCTCCGTAAAATAACCGATGTTTACGCGAGTTGAGGCAAAAGGAACCTCTTCACAGATCCTGCAATAAGCCTCTCTCAGGGCTTCTTTGATTCAAAGAAATTTCATAGAATTTTTTCATATTTTGATTCCCATGATTGAGTCCTATAGAATTTTTTCATATAAAACCAAATGTGCTACTCCCCCCGTCCCATAATATAAAAGAGTTTTGACACTAGTTCATTGGAAATCAAAGATCCATTTCAACTTCTTTTTATAATCTCACTGTTTTTCTGTGACAACAAACACTCTATGCTAGTTTTATAGGATTCAAATGAACATGCCACTCAAATCCCGTACTTTTTTATTCCTACGTTCTAAAAATCCTGCAAATCAAAGAGGGCCTTAATTTTAGAGGATACGTCAACCAGTCTCAGTCTCACTGCAGGTCTGCGAAAATATGTCATTCCCGTATGATTTTGGCGGACTAGTAATAACTGCACGTGGCCCGCCGTTACGGCGCCATCCGCCGCTAGTGCCGAGGCTGGAAAAAGTGGTAGGCGGAAGCGAGGTGGTTGACCTTCGCCTAGTGCCTAGCCGGTGCTTAAGCGCCCTAGACGGTAATGTAGTTTTGCTATCAGAATGTATTTATGATTATTATATGTGCATCGATATTAATTTAGGGCATATAAATATATTAACTGTCAGCTACTGCCGTTGGAATATGGACCATTTGGCATAACAGCGCAACATGGCATGATTCCTCGCTTGAGTAGACAATTTCTTGCTTGCCTTGCCTAGACATCCATTTATGCCTTAGGCAAGGCGTTTGGCCATCATCTAGCGCCTAGGCATGCCTAAGAGCCTCCTAGGCACTACCTTTTTTAACAGAGAACTGTCGTCGTGGCGCCATCCACCGCTAGTGTCGTCGCGGCGCCGTTGCCAGTCAGCGGCCATCGCACCGCCTCGTGCTGCCCCTCGCTGATGGCCGTCACCCTGTCACTGACTAGCGGGCCCTAGGCCATTTAGCTAATTTTGCTTAATGAAAAATAAAATAAAAATATATTTAGAGAAAGAAGTTTACAGAAATTGAGAAAAGTTGCTCCCAGACAACTTCCCTTAACTTTTACAGGAAGTCAAAAAGAAGTTTTACACGAAGATTTTAGAAGAACTGTTGGAGTTACTCCTATGCTTTCACTGGTAAGCTTGTGCATTCAATTGCCATCAAATAATTATGAGAATATAAATAACTATCAAATAATTATCTAATATTTACATAGTTTTTCATTTCTACACACTTATTACCAACCATATTATTTACATGGAAGAAACTTAGATCATATGGATATAAATGAAGGATAAGAAAAGTTCACCATCAAGCCATGCGCCTACATTGGCCATTCATTTTAGGTGGTGAACTTTGTGATAATAAAATGGTTCTGGCATTTAAATGGACATGCCACTCAAATCCTGTACTTTTTTATTCCTATGTTCTAAAAATCCTGCAAATCAAAGAGGGCCTTAATTTTAGAGGATCCGTCAACTAGTCTCAGTCTCACCTCAAGTCTAATTAAGAAAATATGTCATTCCCGTATAATTTTTTAAGGAAATATGCCCTAGAGGCAATAATAAAGTTGTTATTTTATATTTCCTTATTCATGATAAATGTTTATTATTCATGCTAGAATTGTATTAACCGGAAACTTGATATATGTGTGAATACATAGACAAAACACCGTGTCCCTAGTATGCCTCTACTAGACTAGCTTGTTGATCAAAGATGGTTAAGTTTCCTAGCCATGCATATGCGTTGTCATGATGAACGGGATCACATCATTAGGAGAATGATGTGATGGACAAAGACCCATCCGTTAGCTTAGCATAATGATCGTTCAGTTTTATTGCTACTGCTTTCTTCATGTCAAATACATATTCCTCTGACTATGAGATTATGCAACTCCCGGACACCGGAGGAATGCCTTGTGTGCTATCAAACGTCACAATGTAACTGGGTGATTATAAAGATGCTCTATAGGTATCTCCGAAGGTGTTTGTTTGGTTGTCATAGATCGAGATTAGGATTTGTCACTCCGAGTATCGGAGAGGTATCTCTGTGCCCTCTCGGTAATGCACATCATATGAAGCCTTGCAAACGATGTGACTAGTGAGTTAGTTACGGGATGACGCTTTACAGAACAAGTAAAGAGACTTGCATGTAACGAGATTGAACTAGGTATGAAGATATCGACGGTCAAATCTCGGGCAAGTAACATACCGATGACAAAGGGAATAACATATGTTGACATAACAATTCGACCGGTAAAGATCTT